CAGTCCTGCAGGAGGACACGGACCAGACCCAGTCCTGCAGGAGGACACGGACCACACCCAGTCCTGCAGGAGGACACGGACCAGACCCAGTCCTGCAGGAGGACACGGACCAGACCCAGTCCTGCAGGAGGACACGGACCAGACCCAGTCCTGCAGGAGGACATGGACCAGACCCAGTCCTCAGTCCCACAACTTTCTCCAGCTAAACTGAACTGATTGACTTTGGTCTCCAGAAACCAAGAGACTTTGTCTCCTGCTGGTGCCTGAGAACTGAAAATGTGACGCAGTGTTGCGAGAATGCTTTTCATTGATTATAGCTCTGCTATTAATTGCCTAGTCCCAGGTAAACTGATTGAAAAGCTCATGTCTCTCGGTTTAAGTGTTGCCATGTGTAAATGGATTTTTAGCTTTTTAACTGACAAATCTCAGAGTGAAAATCAATTACTGTTTTTCAGATATTGTTTCTGTGAGCACCGGTTCTCCTCAGGGATGTATTTTGAGTCCTTTACTTTTTACATTGTACACTCATGATTGTGTGTCTTCCTCGGACTTGAACCTGATAATTAAATATGCTGATGACACCACCATCATCGGTCTCATCAGTAACAATGATGAATCCTCTTATAGAGCAGAGATACAAAATGTGGTTCAGTGGAGTCAAACTAACAACCTCCAGCTGAACGCATCCAAAACATGTGAACTGGTCTCACACTCCTGTTGCTATCGACAACTCCCAAGTACAAATTGTAGAGGAGTGCACGTTTCAGATTCAGTTTATTAGCCATTTGCAGTAAAAAAAAACACATTGGAATACATTAGCAAAAAGTCTCCAGTGTGCACAGACAAATACAGACATAAAACAACATTCTCGGTTTAACTTGTTAAGAAAGCTCGTCAGCGTCTCTACTAGAGCTGCAACTAACAATTATTTTGTAATCGATTAATCAATTATTTTCACGATTAATCGAGCAATCGCTTGGCTGTGAATTGTGTAGAAAAAAAATATTTTTTCATCACAAAAAGCTAAAGTGGCAACACTCGAGGACGTATTGAGGCGTAAACTTAAAGTAAATGTTTGTAACAGGCTCTTTGTGCTAATTCTGCTCTGATTGGATGAGACAGACAGATATTCATGAAATTATAAAAACAAAGTCGGTTTTAATCAAAAATACTTAATTTTCATGTCATTTTTGCTCTGTTTGAGTCCGTGTGAACCAGAAAACGATTAATCGATTACTAAAATAGTTGTCGACTATTTCAATAATCGATTAGTCGTTGATTAATCGATTAGTTGTTTCAGCCCTAGTCTCTACTTCCTGCAAAAACTTAGAGAATTTACCACTAACTCTAAGATTCTGCTTAACTTTTATCGCTGCACCATTGAAAGTTTACTTGTTGGTTCTGTGTCTGTGTGGTTTGGAAACATCACAGATAAAGAAAAGAGAGCTTTAAACAAGGTGCTCCGCTCTGCAAAGAGGACCGTGGGCTGTGAGCTTCCTGTACTGGAGGCTCTTTATAAATCCAGACAAAGCTCTTAGGATTGTCAATGACTCTTCTGACCACCCTGGGAAAGCCATGTTCCAGCTTCTTCCCTTTGGCAGAAGATATCGTTCTGAGATGCAGGACATCTCGTTACGCTAACAGCTTTTATCCACAAGCTGTTATCAGTCTGAACAGAGCACTTTAATATTCTTGCACCTGTATTGAAACAGTTTTAGTCAAATGGTTTTTCTCAGTGTTTACGGTTTTATTTCTTTTATTTCTGTACTTTTAATGTTGTGTTATGTCTGCATTTGTCTGTGCACACTGGCGACTTTTGCAAAGGTATTCCAATCTGTTTTTTTGTTTACTGCCAATGGCAAATAAACTGAATCTGAAAGAAATACCCATAAGGAAAATGGGTCAAGCTAGCTTATGTTCAAGTTCGCTCTATGGTTCAAATGCAAGATAAAACAGTTCTATTATATCTTCACTTTTTATGCACGATCATTCAGGATTTTAATTTGAGTGTAACTCATACTACACACTTTAGACACATATGGAAGATTTTTTGTGTCATCAGATTTAGAATTGTTTTTAGCTTGAATTCTTCAGTTTGAAACCCTGAAAAAGCAAGTTTGAATATTTGTATCTTTACATTTCAGTCACTAAAAATTCAGTTTACAAATTTCAATGTGATTAAAATTTCAAAATGACACATTCACCCTCAAAATATTCAAAAAAACATTTTCAATGAAAAAAAAACAGATGGATTATTTGTTCCATCAGAAATTGAATTTTAAATGGACCTGAATTCATCTATTTGAATGTTTGTAACATCTTTTTGAGAGAGAGAGAGAGAGATCGAGAGAGAGAGACAGGATTTCGCTTTGTTTACGGAGCGAGTGGAGCCGAAAGAGCACGTAACTTTTCACAGCTCCATAAATAAGCAGCCATACGGTGTTCTTACCGTTGTTACTTTATTTCAGAGACAACTCAGCAAATATCATTTAGTGCACAAGAGTTCAAGCTGTGGAATACATGTTTTTTGTTAATTCCTTTACATGGAACTCTTTTTCAAGTAACACGAGTGGGCCCTGTGGAAACTGCTACACGGGAAACTAGACCCAAATACTGTGTAACGTAACCAACAATAACACTGTCCTTTTTTGCTATAAATGTTCAAATGTGATGGTTTTCATGAACACAAACAAATACACACAGCCTAAATAAATAAACAGGAATATACAGCTATAGTTAATGATTTGAAACGAGCACATTTACCCAAAAAGACTAGCTCATCAAATTAATGTAGTATCATCTTGTTATTCGCCTTGGTTTCATTACAATCCATTCATTAGAAATCCCAAATCAACCTGTTAGATTCATGTTATCAACCGATGGACCTGCTGAAAGCTAGCGCCAGTCTTTACCTCAGTAAAATGACGCATGCGCAGACCAACCACCATGAGACCAACTGACAGAGCAACTGACAGAGCACATAACTCGTCAGAACACCGGATGTGTCATGTGCATTTTTCACCAATTAATTTTTTCTCGTTGAATTTTGACTGTTGAATTTGACATTATGAAATTGATAATCAGTGACTGAAATTCACAGAAAAAAATATTCAAGATGTTAAAAACATTCAAATAGATGAATTCAGGTCCATTTAAAATTCAATTTCTGATATCCATATAAATAATCCATCTGTTTTTTTTACATTGAAAAAAAAAATATATTGAATATTTTGAGGGTGAATATGTCATTTTGAAATTTTAATCATTTAAATTTGTAAACTGAATTTTTAGTGACTGAAAAGTAAAGATAAAAATATTCAAACTTGCTTTTCCAGGGTTAAAAATTTCAAACGGAAAAATTCAAGCTAAAAAAAATTCAAAATCTGACTACACATAAAATCTTCCATAGACACAGTTGTAGAAATAACTAAGTTGAATGGTCAGACCTTAAAAAGCACAGCTAACCCATAGACTGTAACCACAATAATTCATTTGCTCATAAGCACGGCTGAGCAGTAAAGTATTGGTAGTAGGAAAAAAAAAAACTTTCCACCTCCTGGAACTAGGGTAAGAGGCCTGCGTTTCTTCATTCTTTAATGGATCGTAAACATTTTAATGCTTAATTTTCTTGTTAAGCACTTACTATAAAACTGTGCCATTTAAATAAACTCACCTACATTTTAACTTCTGTAATACTTCACAATAATCTTTGCACAGATATCTATTATCTAAGTACAGGAGTATTTTACCTCAATCCAGACTCCAGACTCATGCTGTCTCCAGAGCACCAAACAGGAGGCAGGACTTAGCACCTGCATTTATCAATTTGAACGAGAACCAACCAATCACAGCTCACCTGACAGTTCACAAACAACTGTTCAAATTAGTACATACAAATACAGTTTTAAAACTAGTTTTGAATCAAATGAAAAAAGAAAACACAGTAGATCCACCTTTCTAAAACTTTTATTTCAACACTTTGTCGAAAGGCTTTGACAAAAGGTTTCTATCTAATGATATGTTAACGTTTACAATATGAATAGTGTTATCACAAAATACAATAAAAGGACCCTGGGAACAGTCTTAAAGCAGGGGGACATAACTTTCAGACCACAACAATAGAACTCTGTCATAAAAGCCCTGTCACTAGTTCCTTGCTCTGAAAGAGTTTGGGTCTGGTCTGGGTCTAGTTTAGGCATGGGTCTGGGTCTGATCCAGCACAAAGTCTGGGTTTGGGTCTGCTTAGTTTTCTTTTGTCACTCGTTTTCACATGCATGTGCCGTTGGCCTCTTACATCTCTAGATCAGCTTTTTCAGACAGAAAGAGAAAAAGAGAGGACCACCGTCCCTCAGCCAATCAGCTCTCAGCCAGAGTCAGATAGTGACTCACAGTATGTTGTGGTCTGATTTGTTCAAAACATTTTACCTCAATACTCTTTCTGTTCAAACTACATATCATATATGTTATTTATGAGACTAAATATAAATCACTAAATACACAACTTCTCATTAATGAATGGCAGGTGGTTGCATAGTTTACTTCAAACAAACTTCATTCCTAGTAAACCAAGTCTGAAAACGGTCAGATTATAGAACTTATGCGATTCAAAATGAGGTCCAAAACATCTGCACTGCCTCAGACCTCAACCTTCTGTTCCTTGTGTAAATAAATAAGTAGCAGGAGCAGCTTTCTCCCATGATTCTCAGGAGTGTTATCTGATCCTTGTGGATATTGGACAACTTTAAAAAGGAAATAGCAGCGCGTGCAACAGCCCCAACTCTTGACAGTGAGAGCTTCACTCTCTCGAACACGGCTCCGCGGCTCGCAACGCTGTCCATAAACAAAGTATAGTTATGAAGTAGAATCATAAACGAACTATGGTGTTGTTCTGTGGCTGGACATGCGGATCTGTGATTGGCTGACAGCTCGTTGAGTGGAAGTGTATCTGTGATTGGCTGACAGCTCGTTGGGTTGAAGCTGCTCTGTCATTGGCTGACAGCTCATTTGGTTGCTGCGTTGACATCCTCGTCCTTGTCGTCATGCAGGAAGAACAGGGGGAACATGCCGAGTAGACAGCCGATGCAGACGCCAATGGCTTTGGCCTAAAACAAATGAGCAAAGATGATGACTAAAGAGTCACAATGACATGGAACTGTTGTTTACTATAGAGAATATTTCAACTGTGTGTGTTTTTGTGTGTGTGTGTGTGTGTGTGTGTGTGCACGCGGTGCATGCGTGCGTGCCTTACCAGATGTGCGCTAAGTCGTGTCTGCCACATGTCGACCTGAGCGGGGGTCAAGTCTGGACCCTGCATCCCGAGTCTAGAGACCAGAGCCTCCACGTAACCAGCCAGACTGAGGACCCAGAGAGAGACCAGAGAGAGACCAGCAAGAAACCAGAGAGAATCATGTTATAATACAATACAGACACTTTCTAACATATTGTTTTCTATCAAGAACTGCGTGTGAAAATGTAACTGACCCGAGTCCAGCCAGGTCCGACACCAGGTTTCCCAGAGCAGCGGCTGCAGTCAGAGCACCAGTCAGAAAACAGCACAAACATACATCCACCTGGTCCTTTACTAAAGCTCATGACAATAGGTCTGAGAGGGAGTTCTGACTACAGACACTGCTCTCACTCCGACAGCTACAGAGTGTGTTCAAAAACAAAACACTCTCTTTGGTGGATTCTCAAAGAGACGAGGACAGGTCCAAGGAGGTTTGGTCCGGTATGCACCACACAGAAAAAAGCCTCAAGGCGTCAGACCTAAGGACGCTTTCAAAGGAGTGAGACCAGAGGGGGTAAGGTCAGAGAGACCAGTGAAAGAGAGACCAGAGAGAGAGACCAGAGAAGGAAAGGTCTGAGAGAGAAACTAGACTGAGACCAGAGAGAGAGAGAATGACTATAGCTGTCCAAATACACATATTTCCAACACAGGCCTGGCTGTTCCCTGTGCTCTTAAAAGCATCACTGGCCGTTGTCTCTGATTGCCGCGTTACATGCAGCTCAAGCGCATTAGACTCAGTTCGCACCAGCTACAAACAAACTGGTTTTTCACAATGAGCCTAACAAGTTTATTTTTCAATGTAAGTCAATAAGAGCCAAAGAGAGTTGGATCAAAACTTCACCATGAGCAATTCGCTATTGGGTTTCATTGAGCTAGCTAATCCATCTGTAACTGTCTATGCGGAGAACACTGCGGAACTTCATTAAGATTTTAATTTCACCACAGAAGGACTGTGGTGATGATCCAGGACACTCATTCTACAACATGTATGGACATTTATCAACATTCATGGACATTGATTCAAGGAACAATACCTAAGTGTTCTATATTTTTTGTGTCTTTAACTGTTGATTCTCTGATCTGTGATGATGATTTCAACGGTTTTGTTAAGTCCTCTGGGATGACTGCTGTTGTGATTTAGGGCAATACAAGAATATTGAATTGAATTGAATTTATTAGAACTTCACACAGATTTGAGGTTCTGAAACTGAACATCACAGTAAATGGGTGAAGCTTCCATCAACAGACCGTGCCCACTCAGGAAGTATCATCAAGAGACCACACCCACAAAGGAAGTACCATCAAATGACCTTGCGTTAAAAAACAGACCAGAACACATGGAGCCAACACTGACCTGCCATGGTGGAGATGCCCAGAGTGACCCCGATAGACAACTCGATCTGTGTGCCCTGAAACAAACAAACACCCAAATGATTAAAGGTTTTAAAGGAGATATACTGTATACAAAGATGTAAAATCTTGTTTTAGCCATGTTACACCCATGGATGTGTGATATGTGACTAGAGGCCACCCACGGTACTGCAGCCTATATCCACATGTAAGGACGTTTCCCCACAGACACTTCACTAAAACGGCTCATCCTCAAAGACAGAACTACAGCTTTCACAAAGGAGGATTTTGTGGAGATTTTAGTGTCTCGTGTCATCATTTCAAATATTTTGGTTTTCTATGAATCCACAGTTCATTGCTAAAACCTTGGCATGCCCTCGTCCTGTTCTTGCTCCCCTCTTCTCAGAGGTGCACTGATTTGTCAGAATGCTCTTCAGCCTCTTCCACTGGTCCCTCTCTCTCTGGTCCCTCTCTCTCTGGTCTCTCTTTGGTCTCTCTCCCTCGCTGCAGCGCTCTGATTGGTTAGAACACTCATTACTCTGGTCCTGTGGGAGTAGAACCACTGCGTAGAACCACTGCACAGAACTGGGCAAACCAGAGTTGATCACAACACGTCACTTCTGCTGATGTTTGGGACGTCCATGGTGCAAGTATGAACCAATGAACACAAGCCTCTGATCCGACAGTGTAGACATGTTGGAGAAAAGGTCTTGGTTATACTCCAGTGCTGGTTTAGGGCTGTTTCAGTTTACCTTTCAGTCAGAGACGAGCCAGTGCGTTACCCTTACTTATTATTCTTTAGCTTCTCAATTGTTTTTGCTTTGTTTCAGTTAAGACCAACTACAGGTCCTTCTAAAAAAAATTGCATATTGTGATAAAGTTCATTATTTTCTGTAATGTACTGGTAAACATTAGACTTTCATATATTTTAGATTCATTACACACAGCTGAAGTAGTTGAAGCCTTTGTTTTAATTTTAAAAAAAAGTAAAGAAAAACCAAAAATGCGTATCTCAGAAAATTAGCATATCATGAAAAGGTACTCTAAATGAGCCATTAACCTAATCATCTAAACACTTGCAGAAGATTCCTGAGGCTTTTAAAAACTCCCGCCTGGTTCATTACTCAAAACCGCAATCATGGGTAAGACTGCTGACCTGACTGCTGTCCAGAAGGCAATCATTGACACCCTCAAGCAAGAGGGTAAGACACAGAAAGACATTTCTGAGCGAATAGTTCCCAGAGTGCTGTATCACCTCAGTGGGAAGGAAAAAGAGTGGAAGAAAACGCTGCACAACCCAAAGAGGTGACCGGACCCTGAGGAGGATGGTGGAGACGGGCCGATTCCAGACCTTGGCTTGAGGACTTGCGGAAGCAGTGGACTGAGTCTGAAGCAGAAACATCCACCATTGTGCACAGGCGTGCGCAGGAAATGGGCTACAGAAACCACAACCAGAAGCAGCGGCAGAAGCGCCTGACCTGGGCTACAGATAAGCAGCACTGGACTGTTGCTCAATGGTCAATGGTCAAAATGCCTGAAGTCCAGTTTCAAGTACCCTCAGTTCAGGGATGGTCTGGTGCATGTCAAGCTGCTGGTGGTGTCCACTGTGTTTATCAAGGCAGGGTCAGTGCAGCTGGCTATCAGGAGATTTTGGAGCACTTCATGCTTCCATCTGCTGAAAAGCTTTATGGAGATGAAGATTTCATTTTTCAGCAACGACCTGGCACTGCTCACAGTGCCAAAACCACTGGTAATGGTTTTACTGCCTGTGGATTACTGTACTCAATTGGCTGCCAAAAAGTACTTTTTTCGGAGCTGCTTAGCCTCCATGCCACGCCGTATTGAAGCATTCATTTCTACAAAAGGTTCCTGATCAAGTGCATAACTGAACATTATTATTTGAAGGTTGACATTTTTTTTAATTAAAAACACTTTTCATTTATTGGTCGGTGAAATATGCAAAAAAAAATTAAATAGGGATTTCTGTTTTTTTGTTACTTTTTTGCCAAAATCATCCAATATTAAAACAATAAAAGGCTTGAACTACTTCATTTGTGTGTAATGAATCTAAAATATATGAAACTCTAATGTTTAATCATACATTACAGAAAATAATGTATATTTCACCTCAGTTAATGAGACAAGAGAGACCACAAGAGATACTAAGACATCACAAGGTTTTCAGACTTACAGACTCTTCCCCTTAATCCATTTCTGGGTTGAGGGAGTTGCAGTCAGAGCTGCCACCCAATTCACAGAGCCTAGCTCCTCACTGATCCTCCTGCAGGTGATGAGTCTACAGAGGCAACAAAAGTATTGCCATAAATTAGTTTTGGTAATTTCTCAGGTGAAATTAAGTTATTGTATATGTTTCTCCTCATATTTTCTTCTGCAGATATTATCCAGATTCTAAAACATGAAATGACAAAGTAAAATAAGTTAATCTCGCACCGCCGCAATCATGATGGCGTTGTCCAGGAAACCAAAAGCCCACGAAGGAAACCATTGTGGATCAGGACTGAAAACACAAGAAAAGTTCAGTCTCATAAATAGCACATGATTTAAAGCTGGGGTCTGTTGACTTTGATTTTTGATTTCCAGTTGTTAATTGTTAATGCTATTAGGATAAGTTTATGGTCTGGTGGGTTTGTTAGAGTGGATGTATCGCCGAGTAGGCAGTGTACAGGGCTGTGGGGGATGCAGTGTCCATAATGGTAGAGAGGGTTTCTGTCACTTCTTTCCAGAATTGAAGAACAGGGGGGAAGAGCCAAAAAGCATGTATGTTGTGTCAGTTGAGTTTTGTGTGTTTTGTGTGTCATTTTCTGTCTGGTGAATGTGTTCTGTGTAATGTTTTGTACTGTAATGAGGTGAAGGTTTGCGTTGTTAGACATGTTGTAGATGGTTGTTACATATTTGGGTCCAGAAGCTGGCATCCAGGGACAATCCAAGTCAAATTTGTCCATTTTTCTATTGGTAAAGCAAATGTATAATCTAAGGGGTGATGATTCTGTAGATGTTAGCAGTTAGTTTTTTTGAGTCTTTGATATTTAGTAATCTTTAATTGGTGGGGGAGATGAGATCTATATTTTTGTGTCATATGATTTTGGATGATTATTTTAACTGATGGTACTCGAGATATTGTGTGCCCTGATGCCAAACTTCTGGACCAGTGCGAATGAAAACCATGTGTTGTCCAGGAAAATGTGTTGTAGTGTGTGATGCCTTCTTTGCCCACGTTCGGAAGTGTAGTGGGTTCTTGTACTGTAAGAGGTCTAGGTTGTCCAGATGGTTGAAGATGAAACTGTGTGGGACCGGTGTTTGTGATTTTGTAAAATTTTCCACCAGCTGTCAGAGCTGATGATATTGTTAAAAATGTGAAGCATGGGTTCGTTTAATTGAGCTGCTGTGAAATGAAGGTCAGATAATAATATATTCCCACAGATATTATCTTTTCAATGTCAGACCAGTATTGTCTCAGGTGTGGTGTGTCCATTTATAAATATATTGCATTTGAATTCTGTCGAGTAGTGAGTCACAATTCCACAGTGGAAAGATCTCCTCCTACTGTAGAACACTTATCCTTTGAACAAGCTTCCACCAATCACAGAAATACCGTAACACCCCAGAAACTGGAACAAACTCACACATTTTCTTACAAATTAACTAATTGCATTGTATTGTTATTATTATTGTTACGATCATTTGAATTGTTCTTATTATTATTATTATTATTATTGCTTTATACGTAGCCTGACTGGATTATTATTGTTATTATTATTTCTTTTTTTGCTCACTTTTTTGTTCTTTTTGTATTTTCTGCTTAACTGTTAATGTTACAATTTATATAATTGTATTTATGTAAACATGTTATATCATATTTGATTATATAGGGGGGGGTGAACGTGAAGGGGAAAGCAATAGGGAATGGTGAGAAGCAACAATAATACAATAAATATAATATTGGTGTTTGAAGAATTATAGTATGAAATAAAGATACATATTAGGAATGTGATTTAATAGAAAATAATAATAATGATTTTTTTGTGGATAGGAAGGGACTAAAGATGGTTTGAAATGTTTAGTTTGTTTGGATTATTGGGAGGAGGAAGTGTTTGTGATGTTTGTGGTGTGGAGGAAGAAACTTGAAAGTGGGAGTGAAGTTAGATTTGTTGTTAATTATTAAGTTAGTATTTTTGAGTTTGGGTTACTGTAAAGGTAATATTTTTATAATTATAACATTATAGTTATAAAATATATAAGATATAATAACTATAATAATCATGCTGGCTTCGTAAAACAATAAGAATATAATAATAATAAATCAATTCAAATGACAGGTACAATAATAATGAACAATAACATTGAATGAGTAATTTATGATAATGGTTGTGTTGAAAGGGTCTGGGGACGTAGTGGTATGGGAGGTGGAAGCGTGTTCAAATGTAATTGAGTCTTAATAGAGCTGGAAATGGTATGGTGATATAAAACGAGTCTCATTGGCAAAATGAAATTTATTTTATAAAACTAAAAAACACTGCTAGACTATACAGGATAATGGGTAAATTAATGAGGGGATGTGTGGTTTTGAGTGTAAGAATTGGATAAGAAATATTGGTATAGTATAAATTGCGGATATGGGGGATATTTAATGATATAGGATAGAATGGTTTGGGTAATTTTATCTTTATAAGGAAATATATGATTAGGATAAACTGAGTAAATAATTAAGATGTATTTATAAAACAAATAAAATGAAGTAGGGATTTTATATGATATATAGAATATAAAGGGGAATGGTATTATATGGGTATGAAGAAAAGGGAATTTGGGATTATGTATATAATTAGATGAAACGATGGGTTATGATTGATGAATTTTGATTGTATATTTTTTGATTGGATATAGAGAAAAACATTGTTAATTGGTATATGTGATGTAGAATTATTTTAGTAGGAGATTAGAGTATTATGATAAATTGAAGTTGATGAAAATGGAGTGTAAATATTTTTTATGGAAATGTGAAAGGTTTGGGAAAGTGAAAAGTATGTAAAATTAGTGGTTATTATGCGTATTATGTAGTTATTAATTACTGAATAAGAAGTATGGATTTTAAGGTATAATTATATGAGATAAAGTATTTTTTTATAATTTATATAATTTTAGAATTAGTATATATAGTATTGAGGGGGAGATGGGGGGGGGGGGGGGGAGGGGGGGGGGGGGTGGGGGGAAAAGGGGGGGGGGGGGGGAGGGGGGGGGGGGAAGGGGGGGGGGGGGGGGGGGGGGGGGGGGGGGGGGGGGGAAAAAGGGAATTGGGAGGTTTTTGGTATGTTTAAAAGAGTAATGGTTTAAAAATGGAAAAATATAAAGGTATAGAAGTAGAGATTTATAATAAGTTAAAGTGTAAAAATTAATGTTTAGTGAAGTTGTAAGGTTAATGGTTATTTAGTTGATTTTTGATTTGATTATTAAAATAGGTTTATGATGGTGTTTAGTTAGGGGGAGGGGGGGATGAGTGAATTTAGGTAAGGAGAGGGGGGAAGTATTAAATGATTTGGAAGAGTGGTGATTAGGTGGGGTAGGGATGGGATGGGGGTTTGAGATGTTGTGAGATTTTTTGTGTTTTTATGAGTATTTGTTTTAGGTTGGATAAGTTTTGTAATTTAGTTGGTATTGTAGGGGGGAAGAAGGTTAAAGATGATAAGATGTGTGATGGTAGTGGGAGAGGTTGGGATAGAGTAGATTAGAAAATTAATGTTTGTGGTTTTTGAGGTTTAGTTTAAGTGTGGAGTGTAAAGAGGAAGAGAGGAATGGTTAGTGGGTTGTTAGGTGGGGAGTTTGGTCGTGTTTATGGTTGGATGTTGGGTTGGAGGTATATATTAGTTGTGGAAAAGGGTGGGGTGGGTTGTGTGGTGGGGATTTTTTGTTATTTTTATTTTGAAATGTGGTAGGGGGGGGATGTTGGATGAGGTAATTGTTTTTTTGGGGGGGTTGGGTTTTTTGATTAGGATTTGTTGTGGGATGGTGGGATAGGTGATTTAAAGGGGTTATGTTGAGGATTGTAAGATGTATTATAAGGGATAATTGGGTGTAAAATTGGATGGATGTGAAGGTTGGATGAATGGGGGAAGGAAGAATAGGAAGAGGATATTGTAAAAATGAGAGTTGGATGAATTTGGATAATTGGGTGTATGTTGAAATATATGTTTATGGGTAATGGTTGGGATATGTGATGGAATGAGAGGTTTTTGTTTTGAGGATGAGAATTTTGAGGGATATTGTTTATTTGAGAATTTAGAAGTTAATAGATAGTAAAAGTGTTTTATATGTAATAATAATATAGTATGTATTTAAATGGAATAAAGTAGTGTAGGTATAGTAGATATTGGATGGAAGAGAAAATGAAAGAATATATAGAATGAGGTGGGGTGAATTTTTTGTAGGGTAAGTATTTATGAATGAGAGGTAGGTAAATGATGAAGGAGGGAAAGAGAGTAGTGGGGGAGTTAAAAGGAAGAATAAAGATATTGTGGTGGGGGAAGATTAGATGAATAAAGAAATTGTAAGATTATTGAGTTGAAAAAGAGAATAATGAAGAAGATGGAAGATAAGAGGTGGGATATGGGAGGAAAAAGGGGAAGGAAATAGTGTATAAAGAGTTTGTGGAAGATTTTGGAGGGAGGGTAGTAAATAGAGGTGGGATTGTGGAAGGAGGGTATGATGAGATATTGGGTAATTGAGGGTGTTTAATAGTGGGGGTTTGAAGATTTGATGAGATTGGGGTGGTGGTGTTGATATGGGTTGTAAGGGATTGTATTGGGAGTGTAGATGGGGGGGTGGAGGGTAGGGGGGTTTTGTTTATTTAGGAATATAGTAGGGTTTGTTATTTTTTGGTTTGAGTTGGGGGTAATGTATGTATTTTTGTTTTAGGGTATATAGTGATTGGGGGGGGGTTTTAAGGTGGGAGTTAGTTTATTTATTTTTATTGTGTTAGTTTTTGTTGTTGTTGGTAATAAAGAGAGGGTAGTTTGTTTAGTTTATAAAGTTTAATATATGTGTTAATTTAAAAAAAAAAAAAAAAGGAGAATTATGAGTTTAGGGATGATTAGGGGATGGGGATGTAGGATAATGGTAGAAATTTATGATATTTGTAGGGGTTATTAGAGGGGAAATGGAGGAGAGTAATGGGAGTAGAAATATTAATTTGTTGTGTGAGTTAATTGATTTGAAGGGATAGTTTTTAATTTTAATTTTTTAATTTTTTAATGGGGTTGTAGTTTATTGAGGTATTTGAATGATAAGAGTTTTTATTTTATTATATAATTGGGGTGATTTTAGGATGTGTTTTAAATATTGTGGGGTTTGTTATATTATAGTTTTGAAAAATTTTGGAAGAATGGTTTGAGGTGAGGAGGTTGTAAGGGGTGTTGAGTTTAGAAGGTATGGTGTTAGATGTAAGGAAG